CGCTACCTTAAGGTTTAGGGTTTAGGGTTTAGGGTTTAGGGTTTAGGTTTAGGGTTTAGGGTTAGGGTTTAGGGTTACTGCTAAGACTCCACATCTCCACTGGGGAGATCCAGTCAGAAGGCTCCGGGGCCATGAGACCCCTCTCTACTGTGAGGACCCGCAAGGCGGCAGGGCTTAGGGCTTAGGGCTTAGGGCTTAGGGCTTAGGGCTTAGGGCTTAGGGCTTAGGGCTTAGGGCTTAGGGCTTAGGGCTTAGGGCTTAGGGCTTAGGGCTTAGGGCTTAGGGCTTAGGGCTAAGGGCTTAGGCCTTAGGGCTTAGGGCTTAGGGCTTAGGGTTTAGGGTTTAGGGTTTAGGGTTTAGGCTCAAACACTCCTAAACCCTAAAGGCTCTACCTCAACAGGTTGGGTGTACCTGAGGAGCCACCCATGGTCATCCTATATCCTGGTAGGGTGCTCTTAGTACGCCTAACAAGACCTACGCCCCCCTAAATCCGAAGCCCGAAACCCTAAACCCTAAACCCTGAACCCTTAAACCCCTGAAACCCCATCTCCAAACGGGCGGCACGATGTTTGAGGTGGCGATGCTCGTCCGAAGCTTTAGGACCTGCCGTTTGTGTTGAGGGCTTTGGGCTTAGGGGTTTAGGGTTTAGGTTTTAGGGTTTAATGTTGGACTCGCTTTAGTACGTAGGGCCCCCCCCCCCCCCTCCCCCCCCGAACAATTTTGGGGTTTTCGGGGATCCGGAATAGTGTGGGCTGGGCTGGGACGGGGCTGGGGGTAGGGCGGCTAGGTTGAGGGGAAGCCTTGAAGCTTGAGGGTCTAAGCTTTCCAGGCTTTGTAGCTCCACCGTCGCCGGGGCTCCGCATAAATGCGGACCACCGAAACAACTTGCTAAAGCGAATCAGGGCAGCTCGTGGGCTACTCCCTTGGAAAATTGTTTGGGGGCCTGTTTCATAATGAAATTTTAAATGGAATTTAAATAAGGCTGGACACCAAAAAACTCCCGTGTTTCTTATTCAAAACTGTTTTTTGTTTTTGGCTCCCCGGCCCCCCGCCCTTCAACCCCGGCCGGCAAACATCGCATAATTGAGGACCACCCTAAACAATGGGGGGTATAGGATTTCCGGAACATCGCATAATAGTGCCCCTTCTCACTAAAGCCAGTCCAACATTAGGCCTCATTCCCTCAGTTCCTACTAAGAACCAGCCAATCTACTTTAGCTTGGGGTTGCAAGCTTTCGGGGCTGAGGCTCACTGGGCATTCCAACCACAGCTGCAGGGTTTAGGCTTTAGGGTTCTGGGTTTCGGGTTTAGGGTTTAGGGTGGGTCTTTACGGTTTACAGGGCTTTGGGGGTATCGACTCCCCAAAACCGCAAAATCGCAAAGCCTGAAGTGTCATCCCAGCCATCTCAATCAATACTCAGCGAAGTCCACCCTGGGCCCTATTAAATCCCATAACCCCTAAAACCCTTACACCTGTAAACTCGAAAAGCTATAAAGCTTAATGAGACCTAAAACCTCCGTAAGCCCTACCGGCCCTGCACCTAAGCGAAGCTCGCCTGCAAGAACTAAAACCTACTTCGGTTTAGGGTGTAGGTTCAACGGAGTTACCATATTACAATAAGGGAACCACAGATCTCGGGTGGTTGCTTTCTAAGGGAACCTTGAACCCAAAAAAAAGGGAAACGGGTAGCACTGGGTTATCAAGCAAAGGCTCAGGGGTGTTGCGGGATCTCTCCAGGCTTTCTTTCAAGGACTCGTCCCAAACGCCCTAAACCCTAAACCCTAAACCCTAAACCCTAAACCCTAAACCTTAAACCCTAAACCTTGCTTTCCATGGTGCTGCCTTTGTCGAGTTGGTTTCTGGGCGGGCGGTCAGGCTTGAGGAACTCATCTCCGCAGCACTCAAACCCCGAGCCCGAAAAATCTAGTGTCACCCTCTCCTCGCCGCCACCCCCCCCTCTAAAGCGACAAAAAACACCTTAGCACACTGCACGAAATCCTTTCCTGAGCCCATAATTGAAGCCCCTAAACATAGAACTCTCACACCCCTAAACCCCCTGAACCACCAGCCCTCCTGTAACTCTTCAACCTCTAAACCGCGAAACGCTAGACCCTCCCTGACCCCTTCGGGCCTTTACGCGCCTGCCAAGCCCTACACCCCCTTCGGTGTTGAGTAGGTAGCATGTAACATCCTAGCATCCCGAAAGCCAAAATCCCTTAATTAAGCCCTAAACCCGTAAGCCCCGGGCCCTGAACCCTATATAACCATGGTGAGCAGACCCTAAACCCTAACGCCTAAAACCTTAAAACCCTAAACCCCTAAACCCCTAAACTTTCACGCGGCCTTCTCCAGCCCCTCCTGCTCCAGCGCCTGGGTACTTCGAGATTTCGGTGTTGCGAAGGCTCACACTGCTCGGGCTCTACATGGGTACTTCTCTACATTCAGCCCTTCTTGGGTCGCCTATACTAGACCCAAGAGTAACCGAGGAATAAAAAAAAGGGTGCCCTTTTTGGTTTACACAAATTATAAGGGAACCTAAACCCTAAAAGGAATAAGGGCCTACTCTGGGTCCTATAGTATATGACCCCCAAAGGGTGACCCTAATTCAGAGAACTACCCACACTGGGTTGCCCTCTAAGCCCCTTCAACAAATTATTTGTGTGTATACGGCCCCTACATCAACCCAAAGAAGGAAAGTATCAAATATCCCCGAAACCCTAAAACCCTAAAACCTTAAAACCCTAAAACCCTAAAACACTAAAACCCGAAACCCGAAACCCTAAACCCCAAAACCCCAAAACCCCAAACCCAACCACTCGCTTGCTTGCTGGGCCTTGATCTGATCCACAGTGCCGGTTAGGGAGAAATGAACCTGGCGCCGCTCTCAGCCGACTGAGGGGTTTAGGGTTTAGGGTTTTGGGGTTTGGGGTTTAGGGTTTTGGGTTTAGGGTTTTGGGTTTAGGTTTTGGGGTTTAGGGTTTTGGGTTTAGGGTCTGGGGTTTAGGGTTTCAGATGCCTAAAACAATAGGCGATTCCCAGGAACATGTACGAAACATGATTCCAGAAGGCTCGAAAATTTGTCGGATTGGGCTGCCGGTTTGATGCTGGGTTTAGGGTTTAAGGGTGAGGGCCGATTGCGAAGTATTTTGCGGCCTGGCAGCGGGCTGTTGAGGCCGGATTGCGGGCAAAAGCGGCCGAACAAGCTTGAGAGAGCACATTGGCCATCCAGTACAGACTTCTGGACACCAAAAGATATGAAATTTCACAAAACACACTCAACACACATCAGCTCCCAGTTGGACCGAGTTTGAGTGTTGAGGGTTTCGGAAGCAAAGGGTACAGTAAATGGCTTGGGGTGTAGGGTGCAGAGCCGAGGGCGTGGACTGTGGGGTGTGGCGTTCAGGGCTTGCGGCTTGCCGAAAACCCGAAACCCTAAACCCTACAAAAACCCTAAACCCTAAACCCCAACCCTCAAAGGCCCGAAAGGCTTCGGAAAGCCTTTGCACCCCATGAAGCCGACCCTGAGACCCTGAACCCTCCTTAACCGTAAAACCCCAAAACCCTAAAACGCTGAAACACTGAGACCCTAAACCCTAAACCCTAAAACCCAACAACAAAAACACCTGCAAAACCCGAAAACCCGCAGCTCCGCGCAGGAAAGCGCGACGGAGCGGCCGTGTTTTCCTTGGCGGCCCGGGAAGGTTCACTTTTTCATCTGGAGGTTTCCAGCGCTGTCCGGGTTTGTATACATATAGGGTTCAAGGCTACAGGGTTGAGGGTTGGGGGTGTGGGGTTTTTAGGGTTCATAATCCCATTCCTCTACGGCCCTAAACCCTAAACCCTAAGCCCCAAGCCCCAAACCCCAAACCCTAAACCCTAACTCTGAACCTTACTTGCAGCACCAGAGGGCGAAGGGGGCCCACAAGATGTCAAGAAAAGCGTGCTTCAGAACCCTAAACCCTTAGCCCTAAGCCCTTAGCCCTAAGACCTAGGCCCGAAACCCTAAACCCTAAACCCAAACCGAGCGAGCGGCTGTGTGGAACTCCTTCATGTCGTCAATCTTCCCGCGCGCGTTGTCGCCCTCGGCCTCCCATCATTATTGGCAGTTGCGATGGTCCAAGGATACCTACTTTAGGAGCCTTAATAATTAGAGCAGGGTTTCGGAGGTCATTATAGTATACTTATGTAGGAACCGGAAGCAATAATAGCAATTCTTCCGACCCCTACATTACTTTAGGAGCTGTGGGTGGGGCGCAGAGCCAATCAGTCTGCTGTCATTGCTTGGAGGTTCATGGTACTTATATATATATATATATATAAATAGATATAAATACATAAACCATGCACTTTTAACTGTACTTATAACTATATTAGGTACTTCAGGGGCTTATAAGTGGGTTAAAAGTACAGGTATAATTGGTTAATAAGTACTCCTAAACCCTAAACCCTACACCCTGAACCCTAAACCCGAAACTCCAAACCCTAAACCGCTCCTTTTTCACTCTTGGCGGGGCCTGAAACGGTCCACTGTTCGCGCGCGCGCGCGCGCGATGCAGTTTTGCATGCAGCGCGGGCTTCTGGTTGCAGTACATGAGTTGCGATGTCCCAGCATGCGCAAATGGGTCTTGCAGCAGCCTGGCAGGGAGCAGTAGCCGAAACCTGCCGGGCATCTTTCCTGAATTTCTTGGCACGGCCGAAGCCTCGGAAGATGCCATAAGTAAAAACTGCTCGCGGCTCAAGTGTCTGGTGGAGGTAATGCTTTGCTCAACCAGTCTTAAGGGTTTAGGGTTTAGGGTTTAGGGTTTAGGGTTTAGGGTTTAGGGTCTTAAGCCCCCCCTCAAAAGCGCGCCAGGGGGAGTGTTGAGGATGACTTGCTTCTGGCTGTGGATGAGCAAAGATGCTGCTAAATACTACCATTAATAAGTCTAGGAATTATGACCCTAAACCCTAAACCCTAAACCCTAAATCCTAAACCCTATGTGCATGGTCTCATTTAACATCAGCACACTGAGCCCAGCAAGGCTTGTCGCGGCAGCGAGACCTGAACCTTCACGGGGGAAGGTTGGCCGTCTTGATTCTCACCGAAGCAGACCAATTTGCCACCCGCCGTCACGGCACCTTCTACGAGTCTCGGAGCCCCAGAATGAATTTCAGAAGTACATTAATTACCCAGAGGCTCCTATGTAGTACCTTTTTGGGGTATTATACTAGAATCCCCTATACCTAACCCAAAAAGGAACTACATTGGAGCCTTTGGGTAGACTCTAGTCATTTTTTTTCTGCCCTTTTGTTGCCGCTAGCTTTTTTTAAATAGAACCAACTCAAAAAACTCTAGACTATTAAAGAAGCCTATTCGAATGTATGATCACCTTGGGGGCGACATGAACCCTAAAATTGGGGTCATACACCCTATACTACTGTAATCTCTACTATGGAATATGAACCATAAACCCTTTTAGGGTTCGTTTGGTGCTGAAGGCAAGGCTCCCTAAACCCTAAACCCTAAACCCTAAACCCTAAACCCTAAACCCTAAACCCTAAAGAAACCTCTTCGCATATCTGGTCAAGGCACAGGTGTGGCGAAACCCTGCAGCTACGGCAACCACAGGGCCATGGTCCATCGGCATGTTGCACTGGCCGGCGCTGGACCCCATGCAAACCTTGGTTCCCCCCAGCAATCATACGTTTTAGGGTTTAGGGTTTTAGGGTCTATAGGGTTTATATATGGTTTAGGGTTTAGGGTTTAGGACCTTGGTGCAAGGAGGGCCCCCTTAGTATACTAACTAGAGTTAAGGGACTTCTAACCTAATTTGGAATCCTTAGAACCCAATTTAGGGCTCTTGTAGCTCTACTTATAACTAGGGGGTGCCCCTCCTTGTAGCCCAGCAATCATTCTCCACTAAGGGTACCCTTGTTGGGTTTAGGGTGTAGGTTTTGGGTTTTTCGGGGTTGCTTTACAAAGGGACCTTGAACCAAAAAAAGTGCAAAACCTTGGGGATGAACTGAGCCCTAACTCCTATTAAGGTATATGAACCATAAACCCTTTTAGGGTTCATTTCGTCCCCAAGGAAGGGTACCCACTGGGCTATCAGGAAGCCAGCTCGCCGCTGGCTGTCACGGCACACGTGTCACGAAATCCTGCGGCCACTGCCACCACTGGGCCAAGGTCGGCTGGAACGTCACACTGGCCATGCTCGTTTGATCCGAAGCAAACCAGCTCGCCGGTTGCAGTCACGGCGCAGGTGTGGTAAACTCCTGCAGCCACGGCCACCACTGGACCAAGATGTGGCGGCACGTCACACTGGCCGTGATGATTGGATCCAAAGCAAACCAGCTTGCCCCCCTCCGTCACGGCGCAGGTATGAGAATTTCCTGCGGCCACGGCCACCACTGGACCAAGGTCCGTGGGGACGCTGCACTGGCCGCAGAAGTTCGAGCCGAAGCACACCAGCTTGCCACCCTGTGTCAGGGCACCTAGTTCATGGTTGGGATCGTATTAAAAATTAAATATATATTCCTTATTGGGTTGAAGTACCCTTAACAATGTAAAATGTTACCCAACTATGACCAAGGCGCAAGTGTGATAGGCTCCCGCAGCGACGACCACCACCGGACCCAGGTCTGGCGGTACGTCGCACTGGCCACCTTTGTTCGATCCGGAGCAAACCAGATCACCGCTTGCCGTCACGGCACAGGCGTGATAATCTCCCGCTGCCACGGCAACCACCGGGCCAACGTCTGACATGTCGGACTGGCTAAGAGCGCCAAAGCTCAACAGCCGGCCGCACTCGCTGATTGCGGAGATGTGATTGAGGCCTGCAGCTACTGGAGACTCTGATGCAGATCGAAAGGTCACGGCCAAGAACGGCAGGACAAACTCCCGCGCCAAGCTGGCAAACACGGCCGCATGCGGTTCCCTCCTCTTGTTCATATCCTTGGGGACGAAATGAACCCTAAAAGGGGTTTATGCTTCATATGCCTTAATAGGAATTACAGTAGTATAGGGTATATGACCCCAATTTTAGGGCTCATTTCGTCCCCAAGGATCTGCCAGGAGCCAGCAAAGGTGGCGGAGGTCTCTGTCCAAGATGTGCAGGCCATCTGCGCGCAAGTTGATGATGGCCATGCTCGGGGAGGGGACAGACTATGCTGTCGGACAAGCCTGTGCCTATATGCTTGAGACGGAGGTACAAGTATACAAGCAAACCTCGTTGCTGTCATACTGGGCTGAAGGAACTACAACGTGTCTCGGCAAATTTCGGCAGTCCTCCTGAATTAACCTGAGCGACACGCTCTTTAGCATCCGCAAGGCTTTTGCCGCAGGTCCCAGAACCTTGCGGACCAAATGAACCCTAACATGGGGGTCATATACCCTTCTACTACTACAATCCCTACGAAGGAATGTGAGCCATGAACCCTTCTAGGGTTCCTGCTAGTCCTCAAGGAAGCAGGGCCCCATCTAAAGACAAGATCAGCATGTTAAAGCTGCCTCGGCCATCTTGCCGAGGAATTCCTTGTAGTCCTGAAAGGGCGCACTTCGGGCTATTGGAGGCTTTTGGGAAGGTTTAGGGTTTAGGGCCGTTTAGGGTTTAAGCTTTTTGGATATTTTTCAGGTTTAGGACTTCGAGGCTAGGGTTCGGGGGGGGGGTCAGGGTTTAGGTGACGAGAATGAAGACAAATGTTGAATTCCCGCAGCCTCACGGACGATTCACTTCTAGGGGGCCGGGGGGGGGGGGGGGGGGGGACCTTCTCGTTGTTAAGGACAAGTACTTCGAAACTTTCTGAGCAACCATCACACTCGACTGCATGAGTGGACGGTCCTGTGTCCACTTCTTGATGGGCAGTTCGGTGATGTCCTGGGTGGCGCCAGCCAGGAGTTTGGGGTTTAAGTTCAGGGGTCCCTAAACCCTAAACCCTAAACCCACCCGAAACCCGAAACCCTAAACCCTAAACCCTAAACCCTAGAGGAACTCCCCGTTCACAGCCGGGAATGAAGGAAACAGGAACGCTTGTTCTCGCTTCAGGGACCATACGAGTACTAAGCGCCCTTGAGGATATACGTCCCTTCATTGCAATATCTTGGCTGCACTCAGGAGGGTAGCTATAAATTAAACTTTTAGCTGCCTTAATAAGAAAAGCCAAAAAAAGGTAAGGATCTAAAGTTACAGTAAAGTACCACAAAGATATGTATAACCCTCAACCGCCCGAAGATAGTCTTAACCCACATGCAGCGGGCGAAACTCACGAAATCAAAGCTGCGATTCAGAAAAGTTGGTGGAATGATGAGGAAGGGGTGGGGCGCGGGGGGCCTTCCTGTATCTAAACCCAAAAGAAGTAACCTACTAGGAATAAGACAAGGGCCTTTTTTTGGGATTAAAGTGGCTCTTTAGGGAACCTACGCCCCCCCCCCCCCCCCCCCCCCCCAACAAAAAAAAAGGGAATAAGGGCCTACTCTGGGTCGGATTAGGGTCCCCCAGTCCAGCGTCGGCAGCGTCGTGTGTTTAGGGTTTAGGTTTAGGGTTTAGGGTTTGGGGTTTAGGGTTTAGGGTTTAGGGTTTAGGGTTTAGGGTTAAAGGCTTGGGGTTTAGGGTTTATGGGGCTTGGGTCCTCAGAGGAGCGTACGCACCTAAGCCCAAAAACCCAAGGGAGAGTCCCCAGAAACCTACTGGAAATTCGGACTTAAAAGTGGTCAAGCTGCGATGGTGTTTGCACAAGTGAGATAAGGGGCCTTGCTGTGGTTTTAGGGTTTAAGGTTTGGGGCTTAGGGTTTACGGTCGAGCCTCAGCCGTATGCTCTGCAAATCTGCGAGCAACGGCACCACTGCAGGTTTTGCACTGTGGATTCTGCTTACTAGAGGGTCCTCAAGGGAGGGAACATCAGGGAACGTTAGGGAAGCTTATTAGGGTCTTGGTTCTTAAGGGACGGGGGTTTTTATGGGGGGCAGTACCTAGGGAGCCTTAGGGAGTAGTGGGGAGTATTAGGGAACCTTGGGTTACATACCCTCCTTAAACCCCCCTCCCTAAAGGACCCAAGAAGCTTCATGAGGCGTATAACACAACCAAGCATTCTGGGCTTTGGGGGTTATAGGATTCGTAGGGCCTATCGAGGTTGTAGGGTGTGTAGGGTTTGCAGGTTTCATAGGGTTTGCAGGGCTTAGTAGCTTTTGAAGGGGTTAGAGGGTAAGTGTAAAGTTCAGATGGTTTGCAGGGCTTAAAGGGTTGAAGAATGAACAGGTAACGCGAAGGGTTCTAGTAAACGGATCAAGTCTCGATCTGGTTGTTGGCCACCTTCTTGGCAACTCCCACAACCTTGACAGAGATTCCATGCGTTTTTAGGGCTCTAACCCTAAGCCCTAAGCCCTAAACCATGAGCCCTAAACCCTGAACCCTGAACCCTAAACCCTAAACCCTAAACCCTAAACCCTAAGCCCTAAGCCCTAAGCCCTAAGCCCTATAAGCCCTAAGCCCTGAGCCCTAAGCCCTATAAGCCCTAAGCCCCCCTTAACCTCTGAGACTCTAAGCCAGCTGTTAAGTCCCTGTAAGACTTAACTTGGCTCGCAAGCCTCAAACTCCCTAAGCCCTAAACCCTACGTTCCTCCCAAGCCCCAATAATGAAGAATTCCGGGCTTAGGTTTATGGATGAAATATCCCAAAGTCCTACCGACTACCTACACCCCCCCCCCCCCCCCCCAAACCCTAATCCCGAAACCCTAAGCCCTAAACCCTACACCCTAAGCCCTAAACCCTACACCCTAAACCCTAAACCCTAAACCCTAAACCCTAAACCCTAAACCCTAAACCCCAAACCAACCCTAAACCCTAAAGCAAAAGAAGACTGTTCCTGCCTCGAACCCGCCCTTGTCCGTGTCCGGGTTGGGCACGATGCTTCCCTGCAAAGAGTAGGCGTCTTGGTTCAGGAATAATGGAGGGTTTAGGGTTTAGGGTTTAGGGTTTAGGGTTTAGGGTTTAGGGTTTAGGGTTTAGGGTTTAGGGTTTAGGGTTTAGGGTTTGGGGACTTGAAAAATGATGGGGGTTTGGGGTGAGACTTCGCAAGTTGAAGTCGGTTTGAAGGGCACGACCAAGACTGGGTCAAGCCTGCGCACGGGAATCGCGCCTCCAAACGCTCGTGTTTTGAGCACCCAACCCTAAACTCTAAACCCTAAACCCTAAACCCTAGACCCTAAACCCTAAACCAACGGACCAAAACCCTCGGAGTCGCCACAAGATGCTCATCGCTTATCTCGGCACACAAGTGGCGTTCAGTCAAAACTTTGCATTTCGTTAAACTTGGGATGGATGTTTAGGGTTTAGGGTTTAGGGTTTAGGGCCAGGGTGTAGGGTTTAGGGATTAGGGTTCAGGGTTTAGGGTTACTAACAGTCCTTAAACGGGATTATAAAAGGGGTCTAGAATCTCTGTTAAGGACTGTTAGTATAAGGGGGAACATCCCAACATCAAACCCAAGTACACGCATGGGCTTTAGGGTTTAGGGTTGGTTTGGGGTTTAGGGTTTAGGGTTTAGGGTTTAGGGTTTAGGGTTTAGGGTTTAGGGTTTAGGGTTTAGGGTTTAGGGTTTAGGGTTTAGGGTTTAGGGTTTAGGGTTTAGGGTTTAGGGTTTAGGGCTTAGGGTTTAGGGTTTAGGGTTCCTGAGTTTAGGGTTCCTGAGCTCCAAGCTCCATCCGTCCCCACACGGGCCTTGAATCCTCTGTACCATGGGTTCAGCGTCGTGCCTGCATCTCAAGCGACTTTTCTGGCTCCGGAGGCAGGGTTTAGGGTTTAGGGTTTAGGGTTTAGGGTTTAGGGTTTAGGGTTTAGGGTTTAGGGTTTAGGGTTTAGGGTTTAGGGTTTAGGGTTTAGGGTTTAGGGTTTAGGGTTTAGGGTTCAGGGTTGGGGGGTTTTAGGGTTTCTCGGGTTTAGGGTTTGTGGTTTTACGGTTTAGGGTCTAGGGGAGAGACATGGTGCAACGCTGTTGGTGGCTGTTCGCACACCCCAAAATCCTTGTAACTTCGAAGTCCGAGCACTCGTCAGTAAAAGCGGCAATCAACAGACTAAAGGACCTTAGGAGTTGTTTAGGGACTCTTCAGGGGCTACTTAGGTACACAGCTTCTCAGCACTCTGGTTCTTTGGCCCGAACGCTTAACCCTAACCCCTGAGCCCTGCCCCCCCCCAACAGACGCCAGGGCCCTGGCTAACTTTCTGCTTCTTGATGAGCTTGCGCAGCCTTTGGGGGTTTGGAGGGTGAGGGGGGGAAGCGGGAGAAATGCGAACACTAAGACTAACGCCGCCTAAAACCATCAAGCCCTGCACCCTGCACCCTACGCCCTCCCCTCAACTCAACTGCAGGGATCTAACCCGGCACTGAATCACCCCCATAAACTACACATACATACATACATACATACATACATACGTACGTACATACATGAATACATGAATACGTACGTACAAACAAACAAACATGCATAGACTCCCCCCCCCCCCCCAGCAGCCCTGAGTCCTAAACCCTATACCCTAAACCCTCAACCCTAAACCCCTAACCCCTAAACCCCTAAACCCCTAAACCCCTAAACCCCTAAACCCCTAAACCCCTAAACCCTAAACCCCTAAACACTGAACTGAAGAGGCAGCGTGCCCAGTAGGCTCCGGGCATCGCAATGAGGTCCCTCGGCGTGGCACGCATGTTTAAGGTATTAGGGTTTAGGGTTTAAAGAGGGTTTACGCTTTGGGGTTTGGGGCTCGGGGATTAGGGTTGAGGGGTTCAGGGTTTGCGGTTTGGGGTTTAGGGTTTGGGGTTTGGGGTTTAGGGTTTGGGGTTTAGGGTTTGGGGTTTATGCTTGAGTCTTTAGAGTTTAGGGCTTAGAGTTTAGGGTTGGTCTAGGCCACTCCCTATAAGGTGCCTTCGTATATATATATACATAATATAATAATATAATATAATATACTATAATATAATATAATATAGTATAATATATATATATATATATATACTTTGGCCTTGAACGGTTTCTCATACGGACCCTTAGAGACTTAGGGTGCAGACGAACCTCAGAGGGCTCAGCTGTTGAGTTTAGGGTTTAGGGTTTAGGGTTTAGGGTTTAGGGTTTAGGGTTTAGGGTTTAGGGTTTAGGG